TCTGGGCATGAATATTCTGGCTAGACCCATTTGGTAGCAAAAAGCAGAGCCCCAAACTCATTCCAATATAATGAGGTTAATTAAAGAGACATGTATGAAAACCTGAAGGACAGAATTGGAGCACAGTGTCAAGCTGCCCAGATGCAGCCAGGAGGTGGGTCTGTTCCAAGGGCGGTCTAGAAGCCCAACATTGCTGGGTCACTCTGCGTGTCTGCTTCTCTCTCAGACCCTCACCCACCTTCTAAGCCCTCACTTTCTGCCTCCCAGGCATGTGACCTATCATGACAACCTAAGCCTTGACATTGTTGTTTATCGTTGGACTTCTGTATCTTTTAATAACTGACATATCATTTTTTGTGCTGTTAGTTCAACTGCCTATAAGTGATTTTTTTTTTTGCCAGGCCTCATCTTTGAGCTGGGCGCTAAGAGGTCATGAATCAAATGCCAATCCCTGGTTCTGGTCATCTGTGATATTTTGTAGAATGTGGTTTAAACCTTTAGTGCTTTGGCTGCAGGATCCAAACACAGATCAGTTTCCCTTAGAAACCAGATGCCCTATTCAGTGCCAATTGGACCCTCTTTCCGTGAGCTGCCCCCAAATTACTTGGGTATAATCCATCCATAGGCTTCAATAAATTGGGGAAAATGAGGGGGGACCTATACATTTATGCAGGTTTTCTTTAATATCATGTTCTATCCAAATTTCTATCTTAAAGTGTGTAAAATACTAAAATTAGAGAAAACCTTGAATGACACTGGAGTAAAATTGACTCAGTGACTTGGATTTGTGTTTCAAAGGGACCTGCCACATTGACAACAGCAGTGAAGCTGACGTGGAAGCTGCCACAGATCCGTTCCTCTGTCCCTTTTTGGGATCTTCAGGCCCTGTGTATTTGAAGGGGAACGTGTATGGCCCAGATCCCTTTGAAGCCTATCATGCAGGTGTGTGGCATTCATCCTTATTTCTTCTGTTTCCTAGAAAGATTTCTAGAAGCACTAACTATATCTCCTTCTGATAATGCGTGCCCAATTAAAAAGGTTGCAGTCCAGACCCAAGAACAGCTTTAATGGACCACTATGAGCCTGGTTACATAAAGAAAAAGGAGTGCTACCCGTGTTCGCATTCCTCAGAAGAACCCTGTGAGCGGAGCTTCAGTAACCTAGGGTGGCCTTCTCACATGAGGAAGGTCATTCACTCCGGCTACTCTCAGAATGAAGGGCCTGCGATGAAAAACGCGTGTCTGAACAAGTCCTCTTTAGACTCTAGTACAAATCCAGAGCCAGCGTCAGTGACTTCAAGTAATTCTTTCATGGGTAAGTTTATTAAATTATTAGATGCCTAGTTTCCAACCCAGGCTCCAAGTTGCATGTAGCAAGAGCTTGGATGTCAGCGTGTTTTTTGTTTTTGTTTTTTTTTTTCCTTAATGATGTTACCGTGATATCCAAAGAGCTAGTATAAATGTTTCTAAATGTAGAGTCAGAGGTGGGGATGGTACTTGATTCTGTATTTAATCTATAACTAAGACTTGGGAGCTTTCTGAGTAACTCTGTGTGTGGCATCTAGAAGACAAGAGTTTAGGGAATGACTTAGGAGCTGAGCTTGTCAGCCATGTGGAAAAAGTGGTTTTGGGCTCTGGCAGCTTTTGGGGTGGAGCTGTGTGCTCTGCATGATTGCGGTTTGGTATGTCTGGTGGCTCCTAACTGAACCCACGGAAGAGGGGTGGAAAACAGCATCCTACCTAGCAACAGCTGCTTAGTCAGACAAGCTGAACTACCTTTGGCAAAGGAGGCCATCCAGCCTGAATGCCCAAGCTGGTGGTGGTAGACATTGGCTGGCACCAAGAGAAGCTTGTGGATTTTTT